CAATAGATTCAGATTATTGTCCGGTAAAACTATGGCATAGATATAAGGAATTGAGAGTACAAATCTCTAAGAATGGACCGGCCTTTTTATAAGCAACAAATAAAAGATTATCAGTGGGAGCGGTTAGTGCTATAGTCAAAAAATTTGCTAAGCATGCAAATTTGCAAGAAAAGTATTCGAGTCACAGTATTAGGATAGGGGAAGCCACTGCAGCAATGAAAGTAGGATTAACATTACCACAAATAATGGCAATTGGGGGATGGTTATCAAACGCAGTGTTGATCTATTTAAGATCAATCAGAACGACTCATTTAAAGGTATCAAAGAAGATGGGTTTTTAAAAAAAAAAAAGAAGAGAAGAAATTCAAAAAAAAAAAAGGGGGGGAAATAGCAGAAAATACGATGCATAAGGTATACATGATGACATTTACGATGCTCTTTGTTATCCCATAGTGACTAATAAAAATATATTTTGATATTTGATATGCTAAATGAATCTCGAGCGAGAATAATTATTAGCGACCGAGACGTAGTCACGGGAGCTAGATTATTGCGAGAGATCATGTAACACAGTGAATGACGTAATGTGTTAGTAAACAATTTAAGAATGATGTGAGAGTATTACGGTGATTGTGCTTTCTTTCTGTTGTGGCCTGAAAAGTTTATTTTTCCGGCTTATTCGAGGTCCCTCCCTCCCGCCCACTCAACATTATGCGTTTCTCGATTATACTGTTGAAACGAGCTGTGTAAACCCCACACCGTTTAAATGAGAGTAGTATGATGGTTATTAAAAACGTGCTGTGTAAACCCCACACCGTTTAAATGAGTGTAAGGAGATAGTTATTGAAAACGAGCTGTGTAAACCCCACACCGTTAAATTTGAATAGAAAATGGCTGTGTAAATCCCGCACCATCGAAGTTGAGAATGGCATTGTCATGGTTTAGGGGAATCAGTAAATTAGGCATTAAGAATTGGCTGCATAAACCCCGCACAATCAGAGAAAATTTAGGACAGTTACGAACATAGTACATTATAGTTTAATGAAAGACGTTTGTTAGGTAAATGCTGTTAAGAGCATGAAGGTGTTATACGCACATATATAGGATAGAATATTGATATGTTGTCGCTAAACCAGATAGAAGGCTATATCCCATAGTGACTAATAAAAATATATTTTGATATTTGATATGCTAAATGGATCTCGAGCGAGAATAAATCACAAATTTGTTTTTATGCATCATCATGCATATACTGTACAATACTGTACACATTTTATTGTTTAGAAAATACTGTATAAATTAGAAATTATGTGAGAAGCTTTAAAAAAAACAATTTTGATCGTTTTGCGAAGAATAAATATGCTAACGCGCAACAATAGAAAATTTCAAGACACGTACAATATAAGGATGGAAAGATGGAGTGTAAAAGTGAACGAAAGAATTATCAATAGGAATGCAAATAGAATAACCCAATGTACTGACATGTAGGATAAAACAAATCCAAAACTTTATTAAAAATTTAAGTGAACATATAAAATGATTATTTAATCCATTAAATGACTGGTAGAGTTTTACATGTGTTAAGCCTAACTATACAATAAATTAAATTTGCAAAACATTATCCGTGTGTATCTTTGTCACCTTCTGAAGCATCATTATCACCTTCTGGAGTATTATGAAAGATAACCTCGTCAATATCGACCAGATAATCTTCTAACAGAATTCCCATCTTTTCAGGATTTAACTTGACCTCTTTTCTTTTACGATATGACCTCCATATTGCTCGTGGAACACCCAGTGCGGAATTTGAATCAACACCAAATAAAAAGAGATAAGTGGCCGTGGCGATAGCCCATGCACCGCCAATAGCACTAAGTATACTTGGGACGTCGTAATTCCTATTGTTTGAATATAATTAAACATTGATAATTCTATATTATGAAATGGATAGAATGCATCAATAACTTACCATGTTTGCTGCTGAACGATTTCAATACTTGACTGATTCATTACTTGTAAGCCACCATAGAATGAAGAGTTTGGTTGACCCCCATAACTTTTAATCACTGTATTCATAAATCAAATTAATATATTATAGACATAGACTAACGATTTTTTTTTTTTTTAGAAAAATGTATTGAGCTACTATTTACCGTGTCGGGATACAACAGCATGGTATTTTATTTTTCTGAATTTGCTCAAAATCGAATATCCATCAAGATCTTCATGACGGACGCTTTCAAAAAGTATTAAATTACTCTACAAGAAAAGAGAAAAATATATTAAGAAATATTGTTATCAAAAATAAACAATGAATCCCAATTACATACCTTGTTCGGTGAAAGTACATAAAAATTTTCATTTAAATTTTTAGTAAGTAACTTGCTTTGAAGATCTTGGTTTTTTTGGGTACCCTTTATACTTGCAATTTCTGATTCGTAATCGACTATGTTATAACAAAGGTACAAAAAAAAAAAAAATTAAGAATATTATCATTATTGACTTAAAAGTGACCAAAGAGAAATATATAGCTCACTATGAAGTAAGTTTAAATATACATCATCGGTGATATTTCCAACTGTGTATATATCAAAATAAATGCCACCTTCCGGTATATTAAAATCATCTCGTCGAAAAATAGTTGAGTAAGTCGTAGATGATGCTTCGGTAGTTTGCTCAGATTTTAAACGAGGCGTACAATCTTCAGAATTGAATAAATTGCCGTCTATTTTGAACAGAATAAACAATTAATTAAATTATGTAAATCATGAGAAATAAAAATAACTTTAAAGAGGGCTTACTTGAATCAACATAGGAACAATTGACATTTAATTTAAATGATGCATACAAGTAAACGACTATCAAATGCAAACAAATGTCTTAGTTTATGTTCTTTTGAGTCGAGTCTTTTAGGAGGGAAACTTACTGGGGGCATATATTTCTGCATTATTGTCAATAAATATTTCTATCTGAGGGTTTTGATTGATATTTTGATATGACAAATAAGCGATATATAAAATCATTAAAATATAAGCAGCCAGAAAGAAGAAGAACCTTAAAGGAAAACAAAATCGTGGTTCCGTTTTACGAGGTGAAGGAAAAAAAAGCAATATGGATCTTAAAAATGGACTTTTTTCTTTGACTTTCTCTATTCTTCTCATTCTCTCCATTCTTAAGATTATAAAAGGGTTGTAGCGTTAATAAATAAAAGTAATTTAATGAAGAAATTTCTTCAAATTTTATGTTATTACGAAGATGAGGCAATTTTATAGACGGGCAATTGCTTGTGATGTGTGGCTAAAAATTTTTTATTTCGGAGTTTCTTTACACACTCCGTCAAGAATTTGGAATTGTTTTATTAAATCCAAATTATAAAATAGCGATCGATCTTAATATTATTTGCTAAGTAAATTCGACAGTGATTATACTGCATAATTATGGCATATTGTATAGCGTCACAAGGAAGTGCAAAAAGTCGGATGTTCTTTTTCTGGACAACGTATCCTTATCTTCATTTGTCAATACATTTCTAAATTCTCTCTCAGCTAGATTATATGTGATGGATTTATTTGGTAATCCTAATCCTTAATTGGATTATACGTCGCAAAGTACTGTAGAGAAATCAAATTGAATGCATATGCAAATCCACCTTACCGTAACACATTAACAGTTTTATGGATAAGATTGAACAATTATTTTTTAGCATGATATGCATACTTGAAAAAAAAAGGGAGGGTCTCTATTACAGTTATTCTAAAAGGCTTACAACATTGTTCTAGTCAGTATACTTCGTAATAGTAAGATATAAAACTTGATAAGAAACGATTCTTCTGATTAAATATTCTTCGCACTTATTACTGATGAAGAAAGAATATTATTAGTTTCCTAATTAGAAAGATGGCGCGCGATACATTTCGGAGACTAACTACCGGATTTTTTTTTTTTTTTTTTTTTTCAATATAAATTTGTGAAATTTAAAGATTGTATTCATAAAAATTCAAATAGTCTAAATTAAAGACAAAAAATGAATGTATACGTATGATATGCAAAGCCCTATCTACTGGTAGAGTACTGTAATACAAAATCAAGATGTTTTACATCAAAGCAAACAATAGTAATATCGATTGGATATTTCAGGAATCTTTTGTTTGTTCATTACAGTACAAACTATATTCAGAAGACATCTGACCATTTTCTCTATTTTATCATAGCGTAATGTGGGAAACGGCGAGTCTGTCGTTTGTCCACAGACCCCGTCGTTGTACGTCACGCAACAGCTAAATAGTCCATCTTTCTTTATTTGGCTGTATGGGTGTTTACAAACTAAACGTCTCTTCTTTGTTTCACCGATAGGCAATAGAGGCATTGAAAGCACAAAACAAAGTATCTTTGATAAAATATATAAAGATCCTAATTACTTTATTGTACAACCCTTGGCACATATTATTTAACTCGGTTATGAAACAAGCACATAATATTAATAACAAACATTTGAAAATTTTTTATAAAAGAAATGATAAAAAATAAATAAATTAAATTTATTAAAATTTTAAAAATATAATTTAAATTTACATAACCATATCATTATCAAATTACGTTTATTTAAAAATAATTTAAAGATTGTTCGAATAAGATAGTTATACAGTATATAAATAATTGATTTTTTAAAAAAATTTTCGCTATTAAGACAATTTATTCATATATTTAATACTTAAAAATTTTTTTACTAAATAAAATATTTATTTCTTACTTTAATTACAATTTTCTCTTTTAACAATATCCATTACATAAAAAAAAGGGTTTTAATTAATATAAATATAAGCAAAATAATAATAATAACATAGTATTTATAATAATACCATAACTAGCTTTAACTTATTTATCATGTTATTTTTAATTGTAAAAAATCCGACTAATGTAAATAAATGCATCAGTCAGTTATATGAGATTTTAGAAAGCGTAAATAATAAAATCAAACAAAATCTTATTAAAAATTTAATTTTTAATAAAACAATGAACTTAAAATAATTTTATTTTTAAATTTATAATCTAATAAATACAAATATATTTATAATAACGAAATAAGGGTTTTATTAAATCAAAATTTTTTGTTAATAATTTTTTTTGCAATATTTTTTAACAGTTCTTTGTAAATCATAATATTTTATTAAATCATATGAACAATATTATCAATTAAAATATATTTAAATAAAATTTTATTTTTTTTATTATATAATATTGCATTATCTAATTTTTATAAGATTGTATATATCAGTTAATAAATTTCCGATAAATCATTAAAAAATCAAAAAATAATTTTTTTAAATACTTTTTTTTTTATAAATAAATTAGTTACTAATTTAGAAAAGGTGGTATGATAACTAGTAAGTTGAATTACAAGAAATATATGAATTAATTTTAATTAAAACTTTCTTTATTAATAAACTTTATTTATTACTATTATTATTATTTTAATAAAATTACTGTATCAATTACTTAACATAATCTGAATTCTCAAAACAATGGTATTAAAAAGGATAAAAATTTTAATAAATAAAGTAAAGTTTATACAATAAAAAATTATAAAACTTGATTAAATTAGATGGTTCTAAACTTTATTTTATAACTGATTTATAACTGTAACAGCAATGCGAATCTCTGTTATTTTTAATAGTCAACTTGTCAATTATTTATTGTAATGATAAGTACAAGACAGAAAGAGCATACATAATTATTACAATGACAAAATTTTTTATAACATGATATCTACTTGTGCCCTACATTTTAACTATAAAAACTTTGTCTTTTCTCAACAATAACCATATATATTTAAAAAAAAATAATAAATTCAAATATTCTTTTAGAATAAGAACGAATATAAATTTTTTGTTATTTAATAAAGAATATTATACCCTAATAAAAGATTTTTTTAAAAAAAAAGAAAAACAAGTTAAATATTAACTTCAATAAACAATTATATAATTTATTGTTTTATATAAAAGTCAATGCTCTGTTTTTCGTCATCGAATATGTTGTAACAATTAATCGGCGAGTCTGTCTCTAAAATTTGGCAGGGGTTCTTGTGACTGTTAATAGAGTAAGTGATTGTGAGGGCATTTTTGGCTTGGTCAAGTTTTTTAAAAAAAATTAACATTGATTCACTTTCTTTTATACGTCTTACACTTTGGATTAGCCATGATGGCTAGGCTAAAAAAGAATACAGTAGATGAATTAATGGCGATACTCAAGTATATTGCGTCATTCTTTTTTACAATTTCTCTGCGCGGCGATCTATCACGTGATAAACGTATTTTATCCTATCGCAATACCGTATAATAAATAATCATAAACATAACTTTTATGCTAAATGTTATATTTTTTAAAAGTACATGATGTAAAAAATAACCACAGAATATTTAGTAAGACATCAAAAAAAAAAAAAAAAATCAAAAAAATTATTCATGAGTTGTCTATTATTTGGTCAAAGACTGGATTATCAAAAAAATATTTTGTTACTGTATTAAAAAAAAAGGTTTTTCAAAATTAATAATACGTACATATTTCTGATTCCAACAGATTTTTTTTTTTTTTTTTGAACTGTTTTAATTTATTTTTCAAGCTCCAAAAGGTTTAGATCTTCACTTAACTAAAAACACAGCATATTGTATAATTCCAATTTCTTTACGCACATGTCATATTACATACTAATCGACGATCAGCCAAGACTTTACACCGACGATCTGTTTAAATCATGCATAAATTGACAATACAATGCTAAGTGGGTAGATAAGGTAAAAGCGTTAAATTAGATGTATGAAAATTAAATTGGTAAATGCTTTATTATTATAGGTTTATTGTTTTTTTGTTTTTTTTTCTTTTTAATATATTGCAGTTTATGAAACGCAAAGTTTGTCACATGACCGATTGTCTAATTAAAGGGAAAGTGGAAAGTGGAGGGGTTGTAAAATAAATCCTATAATCTATTAAGCTACGTCATACCTTACTGTTTTTAAGCCTTCTCAGGGGACAAGAATCCAATAGTTTATATTTATTTAAATCGCACGCACTTTATTAAATGGCCCTACAAAATTCTGCCAAATTTTAGTGACAGATTTGCCTTTCATCATTACGGCGTCATTTTAAAGTTCAATACTTGAGTCTATTACTATATCACAAGGTTATTTCATTGGTTCTAACAGTTTTTTTCTTTATGCCTCATACTTCTTTGGAATCTTTTTATTAAGGTTAGAACTGGTAAGCTTTTATTAATCTCGATATTTGCATCTATCAACAGTTTAACATTTATTATAACATATAACCATAAGCCTGTTATTGTGAAAATAATTTTTTTTCTCTGATAAATTGATGAAAATTATTACTTGTCTTACACTTTAGTATAATCCAGTCCATTATTTATTCTGGCTGATTATCTAATATATATTTTACCTGTTTCAGAATAAGTACATTGGTGTATTCTTTCAAGTTTCGCTCGTCAAATCCCTCCTGATTTATTGCAAGCTTATCTTTTTGAAAGCTGCTTATCCTTATTAAATTTCTCTCTTTTCGACCAAAACAAAAAATTAAATTTGCAATTTTAAAGAGCTATTATAATTTTTGCTTATTAATTTGAAAAGACAAATAGTCTCTTTGTAATTTCATCAGGGGTTCCTTTTCTTGTTCTGTTGCTAATCTAAGCTAATATTTGTTTGATGGTAGGTCATTAGGCACACGTCGCATCATCAAATAATTATTTTTATGCTAAAATGTAATATACGACTCATGGGTTCTCAATTTATTGATTTTATATTGTAACAATTTTATTATTTATCAAATCAATACATATTAATTTGCTTACGGGACTTGAAATATTTGTATATATTGTAAAAGCAAAATAAGATGTTCAAAACGCGACATGTCACGTGATCTATTTTAAACAGACTATCGCGAAGCAACATGTTATAATGATTAATTAGTGACGAACAATAGGAAGACATAATATGCAATTTAGAATCGCCTACCTTTAATAACTCTAAAAGTTCTATCTATTTTGATCCTTTTCTCTTACTCTCTAAAAGCCTTCATCTAGATAATGATAAAATGTATAAAAAGACAAAGGAAAAGTACCTAATAAAAGCAGAGAATTCGGTCAAGTCAGATCCGCCTCTTTTGAGTTTTTATTGATAAACTAAAGTGTCGATTACGCAAGCCTATCACAATATTTTATAATTTGGGAATTGTGAGATGCGGTAACGTGACCCGACGTCCTGACACTTGAACAAAGTTCATATGAGAGAACGTGAAAATTGAAGTATTGCTCCATATTGTAACAGGGAGAAACGAGACGCGACGTTAGTCACATGACCGATCGACGTGACAATGGTAAGTCGGCTGTGATAATTAGGTAATAAAGGAAGGATGGGAAGGATTGTGAAAAGAATTATGTAGTTTAGCTTTAGCCATGTCGCTGTATCATTAATTATTATTATGTCTAAGCCGCCATAGCCAAATGTAAAGTATAAATAACATGTAAAGTATAGAGAAGTAGAGAAGAGAGACACAATTAGGAAGTAGGAATTAACCAAATCAAAACACGCCTCAAATCACCCTTTCATTCGTTTACCCAGTAACAGTTACGCGAGTCTCTGCTAGAGTTAGCGACTGACTCGCCGTTACACCGTTACAATATACAAGATATAGTACAAACTTTTGGTACAAGAGATAGGCAGCTAACACTTCATACAAAAAACGACTCCAATATATTAACTAAGACAGTATATATAATGCATTGAGCATAGGCAGACTTAAGCATTACAAAACCAGATACGGATATCAGACAAACATCTTAGAAAAAACATATTCATTGAAAGATCAAGAAATAATATATCAAGTCAAATTCTACACTTGAAGATGAATGATTTGCACTTTATACTGTATGGAGTGAGGGAAGAAACCTAATAACAACACATGATGACATTAATACATATACATATATTTTGAGATCATAGGAAATGTTTGAACAAAGTATATGAAAAAAGACCAAGAAAACAAATTTGCGCAGATTCTGAATGTAAGTCCATTAATAAATAACAACAATAATTTTTAGGAATAGGAAAAAAATTTAGCAATAAATAAATATAAGATTTATTGATATGTTGAATACTAAAAAGAATAATATTAATAAATAATTATTCGACTTTCAATGATCATAATTTACTTACTGTAGTTTAATATGCAAATACTGTAAGTACAGATAAAAAATATTAATACACAACATAATTATTTATATGTAAATATCTCATAAAAATGTAATTCAAAGTCAAAATTTTTCGTAAAGAGCACATTGGTTTGTTTAGTTAACTTGAATAAATTTCGGTACTCAGGATTGTCGTATGCATTTTCCCTTTTACACTATGCGTGCGTGTTGATTTTCTTCGCTGTCCGGAAATACCACTTCGTCAACGTGAATCAAATAATCTTCTAACAAAAGCTTTGTTCGCTCGTTATTTAATTCGACTTCTTCCTTTCCAGTAATCGATTTTAATATTACTTGTGTAATACCCAACGGCGATCTTGAATCGACGCCAAATAAAAATACATAGACGTTCATCATGAAAATCCATGCACCACCAATGATACTGAATATACCGGGGATGTCGTAACCCCTAATTTTTTTTAAATAGAATTAAAGAATAATTCATAGGACGAAATTGATTAATTTTATTTGATAACCTACCATACTTGCTTCTGAACGACTTCAAGGCTTGAAGAATTGTATACTTCCAAGTGAGAATAGAACGAAGAATTTTGTAGAGATGGCAGACTAGCAAGCACTTTTGTGATTCAAAAAGATAAATTAATATCACACTGTTTTTTAAAAATCTGCACTGTATTTAGTGATTTACTTACAGAGTCTGGATGAAACAAAATGACGCTGTTTTGGGCGACTGAATAAATAAGCAAACGAATATCCATCGACGTCATCATGTCGGACGTTTTCAAAAAGTATAATATTACTCTATAAAATATAATAAATAATGTTTAAAAAATTTTGATTAAACAAAATAATATAATATAAATAATATAAATACTTGGTTTGGTGAAAGGATGTGGAGACTTTCGTAGTAATTTCTAATGATAATTCTACTTTGAAGATCTTGATTTTTTTTGGTACCATCAATGTTGGAAACTTCGTTTACATAAGAATCTATAAAAAACATAATAAATAAAAATAAGAAAATTTGGAATTATTACATAAAAAAGCAAAAAAAAAAAAAAAAAAACTTCAGCTCACTATGAAATACGCTTATAGTTAAAAATCCAGTGACCTCTCCAATGGAGTACACATCAAAACTAAGACCTAGAGGATAATTTTTAAAATCATTAGCCGATAAGGGCAAACTCTCGTTGTAAAATATAATCCCATAATCCTCTGTTTTTACAGTCGAAACTCGAGTTAAACTAGATGCGCAATCGTCTTCACCAAATTTAATAGCTCCTAAATCAAGTAAAACAATCAAATTATAAATTACAGTATATCAAGTAATAAAAGATAACAAGTTAAATTTTAAAGATAAGGTGACATACGCGAATTTATGTAGGAGCAATTGACATTGAATTGGAATGGTGCAGACAAATAAACAACTATAATATAAAATTAAAATGTGTATACTTTTAATACTGATTTCTTCAGAGTTGATTCTTTTAAGAAAAACTTACTGGGTGCATATATATTTGGATTTGGGTCAAAGTATTCTTCTATCTGAGGACTTTGCGTGATGTGTTTATATATCAAATAAACAATATAGAAAATAATTCCAATGTAAGCAATCGAATAGAAGGAAAATCTTAATGGATAAAAAATTTGTGGTTCTGTTTTACGCCTCGAAGGAAATAAAATCGAGATTAATTTTGAAAAGCGACTTTTTTCTTTCATTTTATTTATTTTCTCCGTTTTCTCCATCATTAAGATTGTACGGTAAAGTCGAAGTGTATATAATCAGGAGCAATTTACAATGAAGGAATTTCTTCAAAGTTTAAATTACGAAAGTGAGGCATTTTTATAGACGGGGTGAATTTTTATGTTTCGGAGTTTTTTGCATACTCCGTCAAGAAGTTCGTAAATTTGTTCTAATAAACAAACAAGCTTAATATTATTTGATGAAGAATACAGTTATCTAACAATGTTTGGTTAAATGATAATGACAGGTTACTTGCGGACAGCTTCACAAAGTAGTACCGAAAGTCAGATGTTAAAACAAGTCTTATTGCGAGCAACATTTCACAGGCTATCTAAATACAGTATCTCAGCTTAGATGATAGGAACGTATTACTGAGAAAGCCATTCTTTAATTAGATTATGCGTTCAATTAATCAACAAGGTGGATCAAATATTTTTTAATGAATGCGTATTTAAAGTCTGTATATTATTGACTTTACATTAATATAGAATAGGATTACAGACAATATTGTCTATTTGTCGTATTTCCCTGTACAGATAAGATATATGTTTTTTGTATTTATTCATTTTTAGCGAGAACATCTAAAACACGAAAAAGTTTATCGAATTTGGATCTGTATTGCAAAAGGTCAAAAAAGGTCAAATTATAATTTAATGCTGCGCTGTTATGATTGTTCTTGTGACTTAAATATATTATTGACTTACAAGACTTACACCGACGATCATCAAAACCTAATATTGTACTGTATCAACCCATCTCTATTGTCAGGGGGTAAAAATTGTAACGCGACGCCAGTCACGTGATCAATCGTCGCGTTGGTGCCCGTTCCTATTATGGATCTTGGAAATAATAGATGGAAAATGTAAGCGATAGTGATGGAAAATAGTTAAAATAGTGGTAGAGAGTGTGTTTGAGAATTAGGTAATAAGGGGAGGATCGCGAAAACAATCGAATATTGTAAAGCAATTGTAATTGAGCATTATGTAATTAGGGAGCATCGTGAGAAGACATTAGATAATTGATGTCACCTTTATTTTTAGAATGTAAAACCGTCCCAATTGAGATGTATAAAAAAGAGAGTGAACTAAAAAAATAAAGGATACGAATTATTAAAACGATCTTTTGACTCGACCAAATCTTACACGCCTAAAAGTCCGCTAAGACCCCTTACCTCATCGACGGTTACGCGACGTTCTGCCTATTTTAGCGACAGACTCGCCGATTGACTGTCACACTATACCTGCGATCTGTTTCGCAAAGACTGAAATATGTATACTGTATTCTTCCAGCTTATAATTTCCTCCCAATTTTTATGTGATGTCAAAGAAATAAATTCTTTTCAAATTACTAACTTGCCAACTTGGTTACAAGTACCTTATAGATTAATAGAAAATAATTCTTGAAAGGGGTACCTATAACTAGAAGAATACGGTACGTAATTAACAAAAAATAGATGAATTATTATTAACATATGTTCTAAATGGATGGATATACTGTAAATAAGGTAAAGTAATAAATGAGATGTACTATATAATGAAAATTAAATTACATAAAAAAAAAATAGAACACCAAATAAAGAATCAAAATAATTATTTAATTATCAAAGTTTTATTTTTCTTTTACTATATGATTTCTTATTCATTTACATCTCGATGCACAATTATTTCCTCGAGTTTACGTCTCCTCAAAAAGTTACTTTCTCTAATTACAATATTGTTTTCTTTATTTGTCATACTTTATAGAGATCCTTTTTATCGGCGTTGAATTTAATAGCTTCATTTAATCTTGTACTTTGCATGAAAAAAACTACTATCAGTTTCACACTGCTATATAATTATTATATTATAACCTTTATCTCTGTTTGTTATTACGGAAAATAATCAATTTTTTCTTTGATAAAAAATTCTTATAAACTATCCTTTTTTAGTTACAATATTATAAAGCATCTATCCTAGCTGATTACATCATCGATTTTGGTATAAGTGCATTGGTGAGTTTTTTTAAACATCACCCGTCGAATCCCCTCTAACCTGTTTCAAATAAAATGTTTAAAGACAAATATATCATGCAAATATTAAAATGCAAGCATCCAGAGGGAAGTAAAACCTTTAAAGGATAAAAGCTGATGATTTTATTTTACACCACAAAGAAAATCTCATGAATTTAGAAAAGAATTTGTTTTTTGTATTTTCGCTATTTTCTCCATAATTAAGATTACACAAGAAATAATAATGCTAATAACTAGTATCAGAAAATAAAATTGTGACGCGAAAGACCCGTTCCTATTGTAACAGGGAGAAATGGAACGCGACGTTAGTCACGTGATTGATCGTCGCGACAGTAATGAGCCGGCTGAGATAATTAGGTAGTAAAGGAAGGGCGGGAGGGATTGTGAAAAAGAATTATGTCATCTAGCTTTAGTCATGTCATTGTAATAGCGCTTATTATTACATGCCCAAGTCGCCATAGCCAAATGTAAAGAAAGAGAAGTATAAGTAACATGTAAAATGTAAGAGATAGAAAAAAGAAGTGAAAGTGAGAGAATAATTAGAAAAAAAAATCAATAAAGACTCAGTCAAATAATAACACGCCTCAAATAACCCTTTCGTTCTCTTATCTAATAACGGTTACGCGAATATCTGCTAGAGTGAGCGACCGACTCGCCGTTACACCGTTACACATCATGGTACTTGAGGTAGCGTGATAAAAAGTATGTAAGCAAAAAAGGATTATAAGTGGATAAAATAGTAGTAGAGAAGAATGTTAGGAAATTAGGTAATGATTAAGTAATATAAATCCTTGCGATCGAGCATTATGTAATAAGAGAGAATCATGAGAAGATATTAGATAATCGATGTTGCCATATTTTTAGAATGTAAAGTCATCCCAACTAAATGTATAAAAGATGTAAGCAAAAGTAAATAAAGGACAGGGATTTATCTTTTTACTCAGCCAAATCAAACACGCCTAAAAACTCATTAAATTCCTTACCCCATCAACGTTTACGCGAAACTGTCCCACGTTAACGACACACTCGCTGATCGACTGTTACACTAGGAACGATTTTAACAAAGAAAAATCCTTCAATGTTCATTAAGTGTGACTAGATATTTTTGCTTCGGTGTTTCTATACATACTCCGTTGAAAATTTCCAATTAATTGATAGATATTATTTGATGGTGAATAAGGTTATTTGGTAACGTTTGGTTACATAATCATAACATGAAACCTAAATTAATTATATGTTGAACAGCATCAGTATTACAAGTCCGATATTAAAACATTTCTTCTTTCAGTGTAACGTCATCTTAATCGTATTGTGCGCCCAATTTCTTACCAAGTTACGTAAATTGAATTTGATTTTAATAAACGCGTATGCAAATCTGTGTACGATCAACCTTATACTGTATACTTAAAAAGGAAATCTTTTGTTGAAATTATAATCAGGATATTTTGTTGCAATAAGATGCCCTAAAACGACGCATCGACACGCGTTTACCAATAATGAAGTTTAATTTATCCAAATAAAACGCATATTCTGATTAAACATTTGCCGTGCTTAGAAAAATATAATTGGCCCCTTAATGAGGACAATAGTGAGTAATACTTTTCGCAAATACTCTAGATTTCGGTAATAACTCTATCCGCATTACCACGTACAATCGTTATCTTTATGAAAGACATGTTTGCCAAGCATTGTTTATTTTCAACGAGAATATCCAAACATGATAAAGTTTGTGAAATTTAAATTGTATTAGCATAAAATCAAAAATACTTACAAATATCAAACAATAAATCGTAAGACATGCAAAGCAACCTATTATGTATAAGTGACACAAAGTTGGCTGGTCAGTGCTTCCTTAGATTAAAGCTTGCAGAAAGTTGTGGTAAGCAGGTTTTTTTTCTTAGGTGAAACGTGAATTTTTCTTTGTCCAAGTTCCCTTTCACTCTTTTTCCTAACAAACATTCCCTTTTCATTACATACGATGCTTCTGTCGATAGACCTTTTCTGATAAGGTAATGGATTAATTACGGGTACTATATTGTCCTTGCAATTCTAAATATTATTACTAAACTAATCGTTTTTATTAATTCATCAGTGTTCACAAATAAACTATAATTCTAATTAAATGATAATCGAAGGAGAATACCTAAGCCTTCTACGACTCATATCTGCTTTAAAATCAGCTTTGTTTGAGTTATTCTTTTGTTCTGCATCAATGTCTCTAATAGCACTATTGAACTTTTACCACCAATATCAAAGAAAACAATATAATTTATTTAAATATTTATGCAATATTATTTTTCTTTTCATCTTATATTGTATAATTGAAACTCTGGAAATCTCTGGGGTATTAGAAAATATTTTTTTATTGTGTATTACTAACAATATTTGGAAGATAACTAAATAAACAGAATATTTCAATGTCATAAGGCAGTACAGCGAGTCATCTGTTAAAATAATTCTGATTATGCGTCCAATCAATTGACAAGGTTTATCTCATATGCATGCGTATGCAAATATGCATCCAAATCGTCTTTTATGAATAAAGATTGGATGATTTGGTACAGTATAGAGCACATACTTTTAAAAAAAGAAATCTTTATCGCAGCTATTCTAATGAACTTAGAATATTAGATATTATCCGATAAATAAACATACAGATTGATAAATTTCTAAGTTTGCTCAAAATAAATAATTGATGAAACGAAATTCTTATTACGCCTATTATCAGCGAAGTATAATATAATTGGCCCCCTAATGAGAAAGATAGGGAGTGATACGTTTCGCGAGTAAGATACTGTATGTTCCGGCGGCTGTTTGCCTTGTTGTCCTGCACAATTGCTAACTTTACAATAGATTTTATTTTTGAAGTATCATTTCATTTTCGACGAGAAGATCTAAACACGACTGACTAAGTTCATGGAATATTTACAAAAAACCCAAAAAAGCCTAAATGAATTTTATAATATT